GGGACTCACCCTCGGGGTGGGATGAGGGATTCACCTTCGGAGCGGGATGTGGGGATTCACCCTCGGAGCGGGATGCAGGATTCACTCTCGGGTCGGGATGCGGGGATTCATCCTCGGGGCTGAGATGCGGGGATTCATCCTCGGGGCTGAGATGCGGGGATTCATCCTCGGGGCGGGATGTGGGATTCACCTTCGGGGCCGGGATATCGCGAAGAAAGCAGCTGGTGTGAAGCCTCTTCCCGCTCCGCGGACCGGCTGCCGGCGTAGAAACACCGGCCACCTCAGCATAGAAATACCCAGTACAGAATTCCCACCTGCCCYTCCTCAGCGAATACCTGAACATCTGAGAAGGAGTTTGTGCATCTCTCCCTTTTTCCCTCTCCCTCAGGTTTTAGCGCAGTGCTCCTGCCTGGTTTGTGCTCCTTTGGCAGTGCTCCTGGAGCTGCAGTCTGGTTTCAGTCCCTTACACTTTGAGCATGCTGGAAAACCCATCCTGCCGGTGGATGTATCTGTTCACTGCCATGTGCCTGAGCAAGGGTCGRAGGAATCCTGCCAACTTCTTGTGGAGAACCAGTTGCAGCCAGTAGTACAATATGGTATGCCTTCTGGGACATTCAGGTGATCACAAAAGAAGCAAGCAAAAAATAATGCMGAATGTAGCCAGACTGTCAGGGGAGTCCTTCCAAAGAATCAGAGACCCCCCTACTCCTCCTGACAAGGTATGATGCCAGTGTAAGATTAATCCACACTTGTTAGTTCCTCCTGAATCTTTATTGGATAACACTCCACAAAGAACTGGGGGAGAGTTTCTGTGACCCTCTTGAAGGTATTTTAAAAAAGTAACAATCTTCTCAATATGTTAGCATCCCAAGCAGCTGAGATCCTTAGCTGAAACAGCAGTGGATGGCATTGTAGTTAAGGAATTTTAATTTCCCTGCTCATCTGAGCCTTGTAGCAGCCCTAATCCATTTTCAGAAGCAGTTTACAGGAGATAGCAGCAAACTATTCGACCCTTGCTTTTTCTTATTATGTGCAACAACATGTTGCAACCTTGCATACCTCCCCCATACCAAATGTATGTTTTTCCATAACAACTGAATCCTTTGATATAAAATTCATGGTTTCATTGTCAGCTCCACCTTGCAAACTGCCTTGTACTTTGTCTTTCTGCCTTCCCTTAGTCCTCTTAGTCTCTGCTCCTTGTGTCCTTGTTCTCAACCTTCTCATATYTTCCATTATATATATTGTAGAAAAACTTTTTTATTATATATATATATATTATATATATAATTATATATATTTTTATATATTATTATATTTTTGTAGTATATATATGTAGCATTTTATGTTTTAGTATTCCTTCTTTCCAAACTTGACTTCTCAAAATCAGAACAATTGGTGATGAACTTAGAGATAAACAGCATAGTACCACAAGACATAGTGGAAGATTTCTAGAGAGAAGTAGCAAACTGAAAGTAAATTTCAACTTTATAAACAATGTCCCTCTTTAGAGATTTAAGCATTTAAAAATCATGCTMATTTTCTGCGTCCATCTTCTCCTTCCCCTTCCAGGTAAGCTCCACGTCCATCTCATACGTCCAGTGTGGTCACACTTCAAATAAAGATTCCTGTGGCTCTCTGCTGCCAAGATGTCCAATAACACAGTAAGTTCATAATCTGCAGATGGATCACTGGAAAAGCAGAGAAGAAAAAGCTGGGAAACAAAAACAATTACTGCAGGGTGGGGGCRATGTGTTCCACGTTGATTTAGTTTGTTTTCACTGCAGTAAGTTGCAGGAGTCCTGTTGCCAAGATTTTCATTACTTCTAATGGTTTTGTTTTCCACAGCTGTCCTGTTTGTGCATGGAACCCAGGGCCCTTTTGCATGCCCTTGATATCCTCAACAAAAGCGAATTTCGTTGGTTTGTCCCCGGAGGCTTCCAGTGTCATGAGGGGGGCTCATGTGTTGGCAAGGAGAGAAGCTGATGGCTATTATYACCCAGGCCACATTGTCCAGAAGGTGAAGGTAACTCTTTATTGGGAGCTTTGCTATAAGAGCATCAGTGGTTTTTCCCTCTGTTCTTCCCATACCTCACCAGTCCCAAGCCTTTGCTGTGGGGTGACCCTCCAGTGTTACAGTGCACTTCATGGCCWTTGCTGCCTCCCCATATCCTATTTTCATCTGTTACCTGGTGCTGACTGCCTGTTTGCTGTGAGGAGCCCTGCAAGTAAGAGCAGCCTGGAGATCAATCCATTTTTATATTTATAATGAGTTTTTATTCAGAGACAGAACAAACGTGTCCCTTATCCCTGTTGTCTTCTTTTGCCCATTCTAGCAGCAGAGTTGGTGAGCTAGACAGCAGCTAGTAGTCCAAAATGTTCATCTCCAGGGTTCTACTTCCTCTTTGAGGAAGAAAGAGGAAATCTGACAGCTTTCCTCATTCTTTTCCATCTGTGTTTCTGGGAATTGCAAGATGATTTGGGATGCCAGACAAAAAAATCCCCCTAAGGGTTTTCTTTAAAAATCCAATTCTTCAAAAACACAATCCAAATTCATCTGGCATTTTGCAGGTTAGTTAAATAAATTTTGGTGCTAATGTAGGCGAGGATGTCTGTAAGCTTCAGTGTGGGGCAGAATAGATGGGGACAGCTACAGGCATGAGTGACATCAGCTGAAGTAGAGCTGACAGAGTTTTTTGTGTAAGTGCACTCAAAGAAGTGCAGAAGATCTGCAGAGAAGACTGAGATTTTGGCAATAAATCCTGCCCACACCCACTGCTGAAGGCTTCAATTAAAATGTTTACATTTATGACAGTTGTGACTTTTTACTGTTTGTTATCCTTCTGATTACTGAAGGATTGTTTGTTGTCCTTCTGACTGTAGTGAACTGCATCATACACAGTTTCTTTTGGCTCCTCTTTTTCTGATGGAACGTTTTCCTGATAAAGTTCTGCCTTAGCCTGCTAATTGTGTTCTTACCATAATCTCAGTCCAAAGTGAAAGGAAGAAAAAATCTGTCAGCCCCTAAGCTCCAGCTTTTCATTTACTTTTCAAGTGGTACGGACACAGTACAGTGAAACCCTGGTGGAAGAGGAAAGCTGCATTCCCAGATCACATCCCACTTCCTGGGATTTCTGCCACTTCCCCCTTAGCACTTAAGCTTGGCTGTTARTTAGACCCAGCTGTCTCCCTTGCAAACCACATGTTTTATTCCTCCAGGGCTCCAGGGAAAGCTTTTTAATTGAGTTTGATCGAAGCCGTGCTCTGAAGGGCAAAGTCCAACTTGGCCTGCAGGAAACGCCTCTCTATGACATTGTCCACTACGAAGATGCCCAGCGACAGCCTCTTGCTTCAGGGGACAGGGTCTTGGCACCATGGGAGGCTTCAGCCAAACGTTTTGGCCCTGGCACTGTGCTGAGGGTTGAGGAGAACGAGAAGGCACCTTTAGGTACTGGGTGTTTTGGTTTTTTCAGCAGCACTGGGCTCGATATCGGTGCTGGTCACTGCACAGGGAGAACAGACTCTGGCATGGAGAATTCACCTCCTGCTGCTTGGGTTCTCTTCATCATGTTTTTATTGTTGGCACTGAGCCGCTTTTTCTGGATCAGACTTAACACAGCTCACAGAATTTGCCTTTGCTTTGTTCTGTGAGTGAAAACTTCCTGAAAAGTTTGGGTTTGGGGGTAGCATCCTCCCAACACAAGGCAAAAGGTGTTCCTGAGTATTTACCTGATTATCTGTTAGTACACTTTCCAGCTATTTCAGAGTAAAATCCCACACACTGTGACAAGTGAGTTCTTCTCTATCTGCTGCCTCCTCACAGGAAATTCAGAAGGCCAACTTAWAAACCTATAAAGAATAAAATCATGGAAGTTGTTACAAAATTGTCTGAAACACAAGTCATTATTTTACCTCCTGCTCTCTAGGAGATAAATCACAGAGGTTGACATGCTGCTAATGCATTACTTGCCTTTTTTTTTTTTTTTCCAATAGGCACAGCACACAATGAAAGAAGAGTGCTTGTGARTTTCTGGAATGGGCAGACTAAGGAGGTGTCTCCTGCCCAAGCTCTGCGGATTCCCCGGCCCTTGAGYGAACGCATCATCCTGGAGCTGCAGATGCCTTTAGCAGCCAGGCAGATGGTGATAGATTCAAGCTTGGATTACCCATACATTGTGACCCCGGGGTATAGAGCCTCAGGCCACTGCAGACAAGGTCACCTGGATTGCTGCCCAGGGGGTCTGTATTCCATTCATCCCTATGTAAAGTGCAGCCAGGGGTGTACCTCGCTTCCCCAGTGCTGCCTTGGAGCCTTGGAGCCCACATGGCCTGCAGGGTGCAAAGAGCAGCAAGAAAACACCTTCACTCCAGGAGCAAGCTTGGCTGAAGGAAAGCTCAGCGAGCAAATAGAGGAGAAACTGTCTGAATTGAAGATTGCATCTTCAGAAAGTGTTTCCAGAGAGGAAGAGAAAAAGGAAGAGAAGAGGCTGGAGACAGAAAATGCTCCAGAATATGTTTGGTTTTGTTCAGAAGAGGACCATAAGGTTATGGAAACTGAGAAGGTAAAAAGTGCTTCAACCTGGCTCTTCTGTTCATGTATGGTCTGCCATTTGTATAAATATCTGCTTTGTTACTTCAAATTTACTGCTCTTAGTACCAAAAACTTACTGGAGGTTTTAGGCCATGTCCTTATGCATGCCTGCTAGGGAATGGAGAGACTTGGCACTGTGTTCTTTGATGGGGTAAGAGCTGTAATCTCTCATTGTCCCTGGCTGGAGCAGCTTTCTCGACCCTCTTCAATGGATGCAGARTATGAGAAGTGTTGCACTGCCCAGTTGCCCTACATCCTGCATCTGTGTGAGGGAGGTAAAGGTAGAAAAGGAAAAAGTGTCAGAAGACTTGACACTGGGTTAGAGTAAGGATTGTACCATACCAAGGCTGTTTYTTGCATGATTCTATTAAGATATTTCTCCACCCTGTTAGAGGTGTCCCCTCTCCACCACGAGAGACTTATGTAATCCTYTGCAGCTGATTTAGAGCTTGTGAGCAGGGCACTGTACGAGGATCAGTAAGGAGGAGGTTCATATGCACCAGCTCCTGCCATGCTTATATCCACTGCTCTGCAAGGGTTAGAATCCCTGSCATGTGTCAGAAGCAGGGCTGTCTTTCAGCCAGAGCTCCTCTGGCCTGATTTCTTTTGTACCAGTTTGGATCCTTTCAGGCAAATGTATTTCAGGTCATTTGAAGATATAGAGAAATTCATAAAGTGACAAGAAATTACCTATGAGTTGCTTCTTTAGTAAACTTCAGGTCTCTTACAACTTAACATTTTATGCTGTAAATTCACTAAATTAACCTACCCTTTTCCTCACCAGGTCTGGGTTGTGATAACATTTCTTGTTATTTGTAGGGTCCTCAGAGGGAGATGGCTCATGCTATAGCTGATGCTGCTGTCAACACAGACAGCTGGTTAATGGAGACAGATGACAAGGAAGAAGCAGAGAGCAGACAGCAGAATGCTGAAACTGAAGCTAATTCTGAGCCTGGTATTGGAACTGTMGCTCTTTTACCCAAACATAAGACTTAGCACATAATATCAGTGCAGCATGGCATCAATGTATAAGATCTGTTTCCATAATTCTTGGTGCTTCAAAAAAAAATACCATAGTGCCATCTTTATATGTAGGTATTAATGGTGCTATGGCTCWCAAAGTTATTCATCTTCTTCTCAAGGTGAAAGAATTTTCAGATGGAAGTGGGGATTTTTTTTGCTTTTACAGCTCAGCCACTGCAGCAGCAGCTTCTGGGGTTTCTCAGCTTGTATCATAGCGCTCAGTATAAATAAATATTCCTTTCAATATTAATGTGTAATATTAACTGTGTTTCATATTAACATAGATAATGTTACATATTAATTAAACACAGGTAGACTGTGTATAGCAACAAGATTTCATCAGGACTGTTGTGCAGAACAGTCCTCTTACCTGTGCTGAAAATGATTGCTTTAGAATGTCACTGTGTATCATTTTGTTCCCTTAACATCTGAAAGGGGCTGGATCATTTCAATCAATTTGTTGCTGTTCTCAGTGTTGAGAAGATTGCAGGCATCTAAGAGAGGATTTTGAAAACCTAAAGCTTTCTCTGTTACTGCTTTGTGACACTGCTGGAAGAGGGAGAATGAAACAGAAGTGTCCATTTCCTCCCAGCTGGTGTTCCAGCATCATTCCATGCCACAGGTCTGCACTGTCTTTRGCAGGAAGGTGTGAGCAAACTCTGTTCAGGTTTTCAGTTACCCAAAAGCTCTGTTAGCAGTGTTGTGCCCATGCTGATGTCTCCTGTTTTTCAGCAGGATGTAGAGCTCAGGCTTTGCCCTATCAAAAGATTTATCATTTATGCTCATCTCACAGCAGCTCATGGCTGTCTGTGAGATTTAATGTGAACAGTCCCTTAGCTGTAAGAATAGTCAGTGATCTTGTGTTACCAGGCAAAACTCTTGTCTGATTGCAATGGCAAGCTTGTTTCTGGAAAGCTGGAACCTCTTTTGTGGAGACTAAAAAATGTCTTCCTTCCTCAGAGCAAAATGTTATAAAATCCTTGCTTGATATATTTTATATGAGCAGACCTTTTTTTCTTTTAATTTGCTTTCATTTTATCAGCTTCCTCTAGTCTCATGTGTCCTTGCCCTAATTTATTTGAAAGGCCTTTCTGAGTGCAGAGTGGCAGAAGCTCCAGTCCAGCATTCCCAAAGGAGCCCTTCCCTGGGAAGCAGCACTCTGGTTCCTTTCAGATGCCAGAGCTTCTTTGCCCAAGTGAATCAATCTCTGGAGCAAGACAGCCTGACCATCAGATCAGCCCTTCGTGTGCAGAGACCACACAGCACCACCAACCTGCCAGCTGGAAGATCCACACATCTCCCAAATCTTTTGAAGCACAAAAGCATCACAGTGAGTATTTAGTCCAAGCCAGATTTAGCTCTTAGAATGAGATTTGTTTGTGTCATGTGAGAATGTTCTCTCCTTTGATCTTTCACAAACGTTTTYTTCTGCAACAAAAATGATGCCTGTGTAGAATAATGGTTATGCATAAACAGAAACTTAAGGATTCCACTTGGGAACCCACGTTGTACAGGATACCCCCTTCTGGTATTTTTGCTCAGCACTTTTGACAGAATGTTTTTGTTATGTTAGATCTGATCTCTTCTAAATAAGCTGCTCAGCCAGCTCTACTAGGTAGCAAAAAAATTATTCCCCTTTTACAGATACTGAAAACRAAAAAAAAAAAAGAGAAAGTTTAGGTAGTCACCTGTGTCCCATAGCAAAGAGTGCATGTTAGGGGAGGGGTGGAACTTGAAGTCTCCTGATCCTTAGGCCAGTGCTTTACCTGCTGGAAAACATTTTTTCAGTTCTCACCCATAAAACACCTTTGATTCTTTCTTTGATTCTCCTTCTGTGTGTCATTAAACACAAAGGTGTGGGTTTTTTTGCTAATAATAGCAATACACTGGAGAACAATGCTGTTTGTAGCCCCTGGGAAGCCATACAGATCAATGTGTTAAGAGAAACCAGTCAAAATGCTCTATGAGACTGGCAGGGACATTATTTGAAAGTCCTGAAGTGTTTTCCAGCTTGTGGTGTTAGAGTTGTGCACAGGAAAGCTCTGGAAGGAGACATTTCTGTTTGCAGAGGAGCAGCTGATAGCAGGAGCATGCTGACTGCAGCTGGGAATAGGAGGAAGGAGAATGCATCTGACACAGGAAAATATTTTGTGGTTACTCTCTTCCAGCCCCAAACAGCTCTAACAATGTCRACTGGAATACATGTCTAAAGTTTTGGTGGTGTTTACTTGCTCCTTGCCTCATAAAGAGCACTGTAGAGAGTACAAAAATAAATAAACATTTCACTATGGCTTTGAAAAGAGGCCTTGTATGTGCTCTTTCATCTCTGTATGCAGCACAGTGCATTTAAAAACACAAATCAGCAACACTGCAGCATTGAAATGAAGTTTCTCCTGAAAAAAACAGAAAGACTGCTTGAGCATAGGTAGAAATCTCAGACAGCAGGAGGTGAAGAATTGAAACACCTGCAGACAACTCTGGGAATGTTCTGGGTTTGGCCAGAGCGGGGCAGGTATTTCTCTTGCTAATAAAATCTAGTAAGGAATATATAATATAATTTGTGGTCAGAACCTGGATATTCCATCCAATCCAGAAGTTGACACAAAGATTGGGGGGTTTTAAGCATTCGCTTAACACCAGAACAACCAGGAAAACACAGCCTACTGACCTATGGAGATCTCTTGAAATAAAACTGGATTTTCAGGCACCTCTTTGTTGKTTAAGCCGAATGTTTTCTACAGGTTTTAGTATCATCCTCAGAGTTTTCATGGATGGGAAGCAACACTACAGTATTTGTGAGGCTTTGTAGCTTCCAGGCCTCAGGAATGACATTGGAACTGGTTTGTTSTGGTTTTGTGTGTTTACAAGTTTGGATTAGAAATGATGGGACTAAGAGTTCGGTTTGCTTTTTTTCTTTTAGAAATCAGTCCTTAGTGGTGCATCTCAGGAGARGTGGAAAGGGATGGATTTCAGCAGAGCCAGGATTGAGCACAAAAGGCAGCAAGAGGAGCAGAGGCAGCTGAAGAGGGAGCAGCAGCRAGAGGCAGATGGCACCCGACGCCAGCTGCGCAGGGACAGCCAGAGGTGATGCCTGGGAACTGACTGCTTTTTGTGCAAAATGTTGGCAGGTTGGCAACATCTGCTCCCTGCTGCTCCCCTTCAGCCCCTGCTCATCCCATGCTGTGCTTTTTGCTGGACTCTGCAAAAAGGGGKCTCACAGTGGTTCCCTGCTGGAAATAAAATCGATATTTGAGGTGTGAATGAGTGGGTACACAGCATTACCTCTGAGARCAAATTCCCTTCAATCCTGTTCCCAGAACAACAGTGCTGACCCCAGCCCATTTGGGGGTTTTGCTGCCTCTGTTTTGGTGGACACAGGTTTAATCCTCATAACCTAACAAAGAATCCTGGAATATTGACAGATATCTGCTTTGTGTTCTATGCACTGTCTTTCTGGTTTTATTCCTCTTTCTTTATGAGAAATTTGAGAAATTTTGTTTTGGAAACAGGCAGCGATTGCGTCAGAGAACATTGCAAGGGCTGGAGAAACAGCTGGAGCACAAAGAGASAGCCTTGAAGCACGTGGCACTGCTCCAGGCTGCTGGGGCTGAGAGGAGCAGGAAGGAATCCTTCTTTCAAGAGGAGGAGGGGAGAAAGGCAAAGCAGAGGCTTCAGTTCTTAAAGACAAAGCGTTTGCAGAGAGAGGAGTTGCAAGCAAAAAGCAATGAAAGGAGCTGTGAGAAAGAAAAAGAAAGGCTGGTAAGGACAATWCCAGAAATTATTTCCTCTTCTGCCGTGTTTCCAGCAGTGTCACTTTCTGGAGTGTTTGTCTTTCACCGGTTTTACATCCAAAATAATTCTATCATTTAGTGATAAAAAGGGTAACATTTTTTGACATTTGTGTGAAGGTGAAAGGTGGAAAGTAAAATTCCCCATCTCTGCCATAAAAGGAGTCTTTCTATATGCAAGGAATAAATTTCCATAGATTATATCCATTTCTGACTCCTACKAGTGGGAATCACAGTATTGTAGGATGATTGGGGTTGTAATCATCTAGTCCTGATGATGCCCATGGTGTCCCATGGGCAGGGACACCTTCCACTAGATCAGGCTGCTCACACCCTTGCCTAACCTGCCAGGGATGGGGCATCCACAGCTTCTCTGGGCAGCCTGTGCCAGWACCTCATTACCCTCACAGGACAGAATTTCTTCCTACTATCTAATCTAAATGTATTTTTTCAGTTTAAAGCCATTCCCCCTTGACCTAWCACSCCAGRCCCATGTAAAAAGYCCCTCTCCAGCTCTGCTGTACCCCCTTTAGGCAGTGGAAGGTGCTYTAAGGTCTCCCCAGAGCCTTTTCCAGGCTGAGCARCCCCAACTCTCAGCCTGTCTCCATAGCAGAGGTGCTCCAGCCCTCTGAGCATCTTTGTGACCGTCCCCTGGACTCACTCCAGGAGGTCCACATCCTTCTTATGCTGGTGGTCCCAGAGCTGGACACAGATGAAAAGCAAGGCTGAAATTTGGCATGAAGGCTGCCTGTACAATTGTCTGTGTCTTTTGAACTGTAGGAGCTGCTGAGGAGCAGAATGCGGTCACGGCAGGAAATGCTGGAGCAAGAATCCCAGGAGCAGGACAAACAGCAAAAGCAGCAGCAGGCTGCCAAAGTGAGAGTGTTCCAGAAGAGAGACAGTTCTCATCTGAAGATGGAAAAAGAAGGCCAGAAACTCCGTGCCCTCCAGCAGTACCTCAGGGAACAGAACCTTTTGCTGCTCCGGGCATCCCTGCTCGCATAAGGAAGCTGCAGAGTGGGTGAGCAGTCCACAGACCTGCTCTGTGTCTTGTCAGRTGTGAGTCAGTGTGCCAGAGCAGAGTGTGACAAGTGCCATTAGTATTCCTGGAGAGGTCTTTCCTTTCCTTTTCACTGCAGCCAGAGTGCAGTTCCACTGTTCTGTCCTTTACAGGCCTTTCTTTCTGGGCTCCCTGCTTTCCCCTCCCCTAGGGCACATCTAGAGGCACTTTCCTGCATCAGAAAGAGGAGAGTTTCTAGTGCATTATCCTCTGATGAATGGAGGTGCCACAGAGGAGGAGGAGGTTAAGCTTTTCCCATCCTGAAGTGCTGTCCCTCTTCCTCATATCATCTGAGGTACAAAATACAGTGGCTGTGCCACACGGAATGCTCTGGTCAGCTCTGGGTAACCAGAAATTTCAGGGGGTCATTTAGGAAAGGAGAATGGACATGGCATAGTTTATTTGCTGAAACAGTCAGAACTATGTGGAAATATCTTTGTTTTACACAGAATTATGCTAAAATAAATACACACAATGTATGTGATACCTTGTTTCAAGTAATGCTTAGAACCAAAATAGATACAGAATTTAAATTCTGCCTGACATTCTGTATACACTTAGAAACATGATACACATTTTCTGGCACATTATAAAAAATTATGTCTCTTGCAAGAATACAGCACCAGTGATAATAGCAGATTCTTTTTAAAAAAGAAAAAAAAAAAAAGTAAAATTAAGAAAACTTGTGAAAAGGAGCTCCTTTGAAATCCTGCCAAGTCTTCAGAATGGCCAGCAGTTTCCTAGCAGTAAGTCTCAGACTGCATTCCACCAGGGATAATGGAGAGGCTATGCTTTCAGCTTTTCCCTTAAAAGACAAAGTTAAGTCTCTCATCCAGATGTTTACAAACTACTCTGAGGCCTTAATAGCTAAAATGGRTATTTTTAAACTTTAGGTTCCATAACGTGCATGAGCCGTCCTCAGACTTCTGCTTAAAAGAAAAAAATGGGAATAGGAAAGATGAACTTCAATATAAGGTGAAGGCTTTAACAAACAAAGTTAAGGCCTGAAAAAACTGTAACTTGCTTCAGATTATGGAACCTACATGTGAGGCACAATTTTGAATTTTAGACATGAAATTCCATCATTTGGAACAGTTTCCACTCTGTTTAGTGTCTGGAAAAGTTGGCTGGAATTTGCTCAGCAAGAACAGGGATGGTTGTGCCCAAGGCCTGCCACAYACCCTGCTGAGGGAATGTGGGTGCTGGTGGCACATGGAGAATTTTCTTAGSCTAATATTTGGGGGTTGCTTGCTTCTGTTCTTGTGGGAGTTTAAATTTTCATAAATTCCTGTGCTAGTTAGGACAATGTTGTGCCTACTTATGACTCTAAGTCTAACTAAACTTGAAGAAACAAACCTAAAACTTACAAGGTAACAAACCTTGWTATGCACTTGGAAATGGAATTTGCAGCAATTCTAGGAAAGCACATGAAATATACTGAGCTGAATCAAAACTTACTTTTCAGACTTCATTTATGTGCTATTAATCATTACTTTATCATCACTATAAAACAGCAGATTGTCTGCTTATGTGGTTTCTCTTCACTGYTTAACCACCTGAGAACAGACCACTGCACAGATCCTGTTCTAYTGCTATTTCACATATATCTGGGAATATGTTCAGTATCACAGTATTTTAAATCATTCATGGACTCTATTTCTCACTATTAAAATGCAGCCCTAAAATAATTTTAAACTGCTGTTTAAATAACTGACTGTAAATCCTGCATTTAATGCAGCTCTTCTGCTGGCTTTATTTGGTTTTAACATTCACAGTCTGGTTTTAATGCTTCAGGAAAATCCTTGGACTCTGTTTTGCAAACTGATGGAAAAAAAATCCCCATAAGAATCTGCATATCAGTTAAGGTTTTGAGTTGAGTAGAGGGAGACCAGGGAGCATGTGGGAAGGTAGTACAGAGGAAAAAAACAAAAAAAACCCTTAAGCTTTAACCCTTTTAGACTTAACCCCTTTTAGAAACAGAAAAATTTAAGACCAGGACAAATATTCCCCCAAGTTGTTTTTTATTATGGAATTAGGTTTTTCTGCCTAGGTAAATATTTTATTATGCTGTTTATAACTCAAATTCCTATTAAAATGTACTAGAGTACAGAAATTAGAAAAAAATTTAAATGGTCTATTTTTATCATCCAAAATGACTAAGAACAGACCACTACATGCAGGATGTTAGGACACTTCTACAATAAAAGTAGAAGTTAAAAGTCCGAAAGATGAATAGGTTTATTGGGTTTTTTCAGCCTGAATGTGTTGCTTAGGTGATGCTAGAACATCATTTCTCATACCACAGTGACAGGTAATTCAGTAAATTAAATATTTCACCTGATAGAGTTCAAAACAGACTTGATCAATGAACATCTTTTTGAAGAYGTTTTTAAAAACTACCAGAGCACGTTAGCTCTTAGAACTGTGCAATGAGTRGGAAATGTCCAATTGTGCAAATTCYTCCTGCTTTCTGGAATAGACCTTCTGATCATCCCATGCCTGCTGCTTGGCTGAAATGGCTGAAGGTGACATTAGTGGAGAGCAACCAGTACCCAGCACATCCCTGGGGTACATGTGACATCTCCTCTTCAGCTTCACTCTGTCAGCTCACAGACAGCACAGGTAACCCCCCACGGGGAGAGGGCAGCAGCCACAGGACTCTATTTGAGGGCAGAAGCTGCAGTTTTGATGAGCAGTGGCTTAGCTGCCTCCAGGATGTCCAGTTCAGGGTCCAGTGACCGTCCRAGTCCTTCCAGAACCATGATGGCAAAGATGATGGAAGCAAAGTTGCTCTCGAGCTTCACCTGCAACCACAACAGACTGAATGGACTCTGGGGACCTCATTTTCTTCTGCACCCCTTTAACCAAGCTCTGCCTGTGCTGAGAGGGAAGGGAGGAGGCTGGGGACAGCACATGCACACCTGAAACCACAATGCAGCTCCACCAGCTCGACTGTGCAGCCCTGTGACTGACAACCTTCTCACCCCTAGTTCAAGCTACCATAGGTTCTCTTGATTAACAAAGTTGTTTGCAACTGTGGAAAYTTGTCCCCCAAATAATCAGTTATAAGGAAATATCTTTAGCCTAATGGACTATTAAAAAAGGACTATTTAAAATGGACTATTTAAAAAAAAGGAAAAACTATGTGTTACAAAAATACTCCTTTTGGTGAACAATATCATTAAATGAAGTATTGAGACAAAAAAAAAAAAATTGGCTTGGCAGTGTATATAAGACCTGAGAAACAGCAAGCCTGCAACACTGGGATGCATTCCTGGAGTTCCTCTCCTAGCAGTTTGTTTCAAGTTTGTTTCAGAAGTCAGCCCCGCTCCTTGTCAGCCCTTCATGTTCCCTGTAGTTCTCCCTCCCCAGGTGAACTTCCAGTTAYTAAAGGCAGACAGGGACAGGACCTCACCTTATGGGTCATCAATAGCTTGAAGACACTGGAGAGGAGATTCCCCACCTGAAGCTGGAATACAAAAGGAGAATTTAACAGCTGATAAGAAAACCCTACTGTTTCATTGAACTGCAATGTGAGGATGTGACATTGTGCACTCACCTTTCCCAAGGCAATGGTGTTCCCCCGGACTTTGGCCACAAGTTCTGCCATCTCAGCCTTGAAGCGCTCAATGTCCTGGCACTGGTTGGCACGGGCGTGGTGGAGGATCAGCTCTGCCACCCTCTCCCCCTGAGAAACAAGTTGAAAAGCACAAAATCAGCACTCCATCACTGGTGACTTGCAGCCAGATGCTTGCAGTTCTTGCTTTCAGTAGCTGAGAAATGCCCCTGGCAGCACAGGATGGGCCTGGATACCAGGATGGTTTAGCRTGGATTCCTTGGCATGCCACAGACMAAGAMAAAACATGTACCTCTTGAGGTGTTAGGGAGCCCTTCAACCTTTAGCTGAGACAGCACCAGGCAAGTATGAGCACAGTACTTGTTTTCAGAATGAATAGGAGACACCAGCACTGGGTTCTGAGTGTATCTGGGAGCATATTTCAAGTGGGCAGGAGGATAAAGTAGTTTTCTTTACATGGAGGAGTGTAGCAGAGCTCAGACCCCCGCACAAACCTGTTTTGCTTCCTCTCTATGGATGGTGACACAACAGCAAAATGGAGGAAGGCATATGGGCTTTCCAGATGTTAACCCATTCCCTCCTCTTCTCTAGCAAAACCTGACAAATTCTGCCATAGTGGCTCCCAGGCAGTCCRAATTTGCAGCAGAAGCATTCCTCACCAGGGAGTGCCACCCACTGCTTCCATTTTAGCACCTTCTGTTTCCTGGGCCACAGAAATCGCTCCACTCTGGCAGGCTCCCTGCTGTAGCTGGACCTCTGATCCCTGTGTTTGGGATAAGATGCCAGCAAGCCTCCTCACCTCTCTTAGGGAAGATTTTAAGGGGAAACAGAAAACTCTCACTTTGACCATCAGATYCCCCAGCCAGCCCACTGGCGGAGGCCTCACCTGTCCCTGCACCACGGCRGTGAAGACAGCGCGGAAGTTCTGCAGGTCAGCACTCTGCAGCTCGGCCACGATGCCGGCGTCCAGCAGCACCAGGCACAGCTGCCTTGGGGGTGGCTGCAGCTCCAGCACCAGGGTGTCACACAGGTCCAGCACTGCCACCTGCTCCCGGGAGACACTGCCCCGGCCGGCCGTGCCTTGAACCAGGATGTTCCCCGGGTGAAGGTCGGCGTGGACGAAGTTGTCGACGAAGATCTGGAGGACAGGTAAGTGTGAGAGCAGCTCTGCCCACAGAAAAGTCCCCAGGGAAACATCACAGGGTTGTTTGTGGTGTTCTCTGTCATTAGCAGTGATGGGGCAGCACCACAGCAGGTGGCTTTTGCTGATCGTGCTGGTACTCAGGGAGTCAGCAGAGCTGTGTGAAACAATCCAGGCTCAGGYAGGACTCAGCCAGGAGCCCCAGCAAGGAATGGCAATGCTCCTTGGCAATYAGCCCTAAACTGGGACACACTGGTGGGCCTTAGCAAAGAGGATTGCAGTAAGAASAGGCCATTTGTCATTTAGTGAATTTAGTTTGGCTAGTGCAGGACATCAATCCACATTACAACTCTATTGAAAAATAAGGAAAACAAGAGGAAATAAATCTGTATAGCTCTTCTCTGCTGCCTTTAGCACCAGAAAGGACTGGCCAGAGGACAAGAACAAAGCCGTAGTTCCCTCCCCAACCCTCCTGGCCACTTGGGACTGCAGGAATTCCTGCCCCAAGGGGATTATCTTTGTATTTCATGGATTTCTCCTATGAACTTCTTCAACTGCTGTGTAATTAGAGATGTGTGAAAAAATAGGGTTTTGGTGTTGCCTGAAAAAAATGATTTCTGCTAATTTTATGTCCTCCTCATTGAGAAACTGTACAAAATAGATCCATATTCATTCTCATGCACTCATGACTGTGTGCATAATCTCTATCATAAGCTACTCATCTTTCTGCTTTCCACAGTTAAGAGTCAAAATTATTTCACCATTCTGGTATGAAAGCCATTCCACACAAGTATTCATCCTGTCTGCCTTCCTCTGCACCTCTTCTAGTTCTACTGCAGCCCTTGAAATGGAGGGTCCTGGATAGTGAGGAGTTAGAACTGCAGAGTACTCAAGAAAGAGGTATTTGTTTTACTGAYAGACATAATGTTGTTTCTTTGCTCTTTAATTCTTTCCTACTCCTAAAATTCAAAACCAATGTTAGCACTGGACTATTCTAGTTCCAGCGTTGCTTTTCTGAGTGCTAAAAGCTATTTCAGATCCTGCCACACTACGTGGAGCCAGAGCTGGAGCACSCAGCACAATGCTGCAGTTATCAGAGCATTTCATCTGACATGCACTGCCCACACACTCAGTACTGTCAGGAGTTCTGGAAACTCTTCCCTTCTGGTTCTCATGGCTCCTCACAAGACAGCTGTACCACCCTCTCATCACTCCTTTCCAGACCATTTGGGATTATTTCAGGCACAGAAGAACTAGATAACCAAAAACTGAATCCGGTCAGATTTGTTTTCTTTACTCCAGATTGAGTTGTCCCTTCCAAGAAAGCAGTTTTAGGGGAGCTGATAAATGAAGAAACCAGCTTGCTGTTTTCCCTCTGAGTCATATCCATAATCTCTGCATTTGCTAATAATATCACACTTTAAGGTACATGGGCAATATGTAAATGTTCATTAAATAGGTTAGTGGGTGTCCTAAGTAAAGGCTGACCAAGGTGCACAGGCCAGTCCTACTGTGTGCAGGCAGATGGCCCCTCTGTAGTGGCAGAGCCCGGTGCCAGAGCCTGCAGCAGGGGTATGTCCAACCCAGGCTTTACCCACACCAGGGACAAGTAGGAAGCAAATGGGTCCTGTCTTTAGCCCTATTGTCTTATTATCCAAACTGAATAGCTTTTGMAGGAAAACAACTTTCACTTCCAGCCCCAGCCAAGTGCCTACCATCTTTAGCAGCATGTCCATGCCCATCTTGGCAAGTCTCTGCCGCAGCTCTGTGCCAATCTCCACGTGCAGGTARCGCGAAATGGGCTCGCTCTCCTGAAACAGAGACAGAACTGGAATCCAATACACCCTGCATCCCACATTCAATYATGCTTTTATCTGGGTGCCAAGAGTTGAGGGAAGGTGATAACAGTACCCTGGAAAGGCCTTGACAGAGAGAGGCTGTACCCAGTGTGATGGAGAATGTGAGAGAACCAAGGGTTTGTTCCTTGGGAAGATGGACGATATTCCTGGAGCAGAAACACCCTTGCCAGGATCACATGCAGGAAAATAAGCCTGAGAGTAGCTTTGGTGTGTGACTCAAAYATCCACAAGGGAAGTGAGGCAAGGATCAGAAAGTGCCAGATTGCTGAGCTCCTTGCTTTGACCCCCCACAGAAAAGAGGTGAAGCCTGGTGTTGGCTTGCAAAGCACATGGTGGCTGGACACACTGCTGGCCTGCTTGGTTTCAGGCTAAGTGTCCACTTATGTATGGAGTTATCTGCCACCTSTCTTCTGGGATGCACTGGTTGCAAACAAAAAGAGTAGAAGAGACACTAAGGACATCAATCTCCTTAAGCAAATAAGAAAAAAAGCATCCTTCTGCCCCCTTCTCAAAAGAAACGACCTCCTTGGCATGTTCTCCTCAGGGCCTTCTCATTGCTACCATCGCTCCCAGAACCWGCAATTCTTACCTCAAATGTTTCCACTAGAACATCTGCTGTTACCAAGGGCCAAAGGGGAGTTGGAAACTTCACAAAATCGACATCTAGGAAATTTTGTCGGAAGCGCTCCAGATTTCTGGCTTCRTAGCGTAAGTCGATCTCAAGGGAGAAATAGAAAAGCAGTTCAAAAATTAGACTGAAATCCTAGGTTAGGATTAGAGCTTCAGGATCCTGTGTGAGTTGCAATACTCAATACCAACAAACTAGTCAGAAAGCCAGAATGGAAACAAAATGAGCGGTGCTTTTACATGCTTATAGCTTCCCTGATGGAAGAGGAGCAGACTGGGTAAKGGATGCTCCACAAGCCAACACTAGAGGCATGGTCTCAAAATAGACCAGGACCATGTCGTATTCAAGGATAAAACACAATCCTGAACTGAATCTTATCCTGAACTGAAGCTTACTGTCCAAATAGTGAGACAGGAAGGTAGGATAGAAGAACTGCAGCCCCAGCCTCACTTGACAAGGGGCAGCCGTGGCAGGAAGGAATTTAATGTAGAAAATGATCCACTCTGCCAAGACCAGGCCCTGGTTCTTCAGTGATCCAGTGTCTTGACACAAGGCATATCTCCTACTTCTGCTACTGCTCAAGGAAGCAGGATAACCTTGCCTCACCTTCCTCATCTGGCAATAGCAAATATCCCAGGAATACTTCCTGTTTATTCAAAGGGAAAAAGCTACAATGAGCCTATCAGATGTTCTCCTAACCCTCAGTCTTCTGCAAATCCACCCAAACTGTACCATTCTGGTACAAAATGACCTCGAGTCACATCCAACTCCAGTAAACCATTCCCAGTGTGGATTTAGAGATTTTGCAATGGTAGAAAATAATGAAGGCTTTCAAAAGCCTGTTACAGACTTTAAACTCCACAATGTAGACACACAAATGAAATTAGCAGATAATGGCTCATTTCTAGAAACATAAGCCTAATTAAGCTTGCAGTGAAACCTYTGTAAGTTTTATAGTAGCAAGGTTTCAGGACTGTGTCTTTAGAAGACATTACTGAACCAGAATGCTTTCAGATCTGTTTTTAAAATTTTACTGACACTATGAGTCTGATGACAGAATATGTTATTAACTTACGTGAAAACATTATTTATGCATATATATCTATATATCTCAGTGCTAACAAACTTTACTAGTGAGTACATATTGCAAACACATATGTAGAATTATAGAAAAAATAACCCACATGCCTGAGCACTTGCTTGGAGAGATTCTTTTCCTAAGGACAGATGTCTCACYAGTGTTCACCTGTCACAATACTGCAAAAAAGACTGTGACTATGGCTAGCTAGCTGTTCAGGCTGTCCACTAGAAAACACATTCGAAGTCTAAAAATTGTTTTCAAAGTCTAAAAAACATTTTCTAACCTAATAAAGACTGGTTTTTCATTGCTTTGCTACTTTGTGAGCATATAAGCTTTCGTACAGTAACATTATGGGATTTTATTAGCCTAAAGAACAGGCCAGCCTTTATCTAACCATTTAAAATATAGTGTGGACAGAGTTAGAGGCAGCCAGTAGCAAGACAAAGGGCAGTTTTGTTTCAGCAGCTGGGGACCATGTCTTGGCACCTACCTGCTGCATCATAAGCTTCTCAAACTCCTCCACAATCTCTGTCAAACTGAGCCACTTGAACCCAGGGAGAAGTCCAAKGATGCGGCTGCCCATCTTCATGAGGAACAGATCCATCTGCACTTGGTGCACCAGCCCAGGGTGCAGGACCTGCACAAGAACGAGCAGTGACATCAGCTCCCCACACACTCTGAGCTCAAGWGATACATTTCAAATACACAGAGCCCAGCCTCTTAGACTGGGAGCCAACCARCTTCCTTGGCTAGTCCCCAGAAGAAGTCATTTTTTTGCAATTGATAAAGTTGTAGAGAAACATTTTATCATTGTCTTGTACATTTAAATAGAGTGTATCTGTACACAATACAGTGTATTGTGAGAGACTACAGTCTCACTCAAAGGTGTTTTCCACCATTTTCAATCTCTCGCCGTGTCCCTGACTGGCATTGAAGCTGCTCAAATAAAGTTTCTTTAAATAAACTTTGCTGGAAAGCACTTATATGTTCCAGATTTCTTCATATGAGCAGAGGAGTTTCACTGTCTGGAAGGTGCAACCAACCTTAATTCTTTCAAGTGAATTGGCCTTTGTAAGCATTCCTAATACATCCCACATCAAATCTTGAACTCTCMATTTGGGAAGAGTTGGGGCCACTGCAAGTGCGGATTGTGGCTGGCTGGTACAAAAGCCCTGAGAAAGGACATCRAGAGAGACAGTATCCCTTCTCGTCCCACCTGGCCCTAGCCAGCTACTCCTCTCCATGGGAATTAAAATAKGATGGACCTYGTCCAGCACASTCCRTTTTCATACAWCTACCATTCAGGCTTATGACTTACTTTAATGGCTACAGGCATGAGATGTCTGGCTGATGAAGGKTTTGCATTCGGGAGTGGCTTGGCCGTCTGCTCCATAAGGGACATCCTACTCACGGGACTTCCYTGGGAGCAGCCTGCAGAACTCAGTTCCTCCCTGCTCCTCTCATCCTTGCTCTTCCTCCTTCTCAGCCACCCGAGGAGGCCTCTAAAGCCTGACACTTCCCACGCTTCAAAGGCGGACCTGAACTCCGAGTGTTGCTCCAGCTCCTTGGCCCGGGAGCCGGCAATAGCAGCGAGGTCAGCATAGGCTTTATACACCTGGGCAACGCAGCCCGAGCCGACCGGCTCCCGGCTCTGGAACTTGAGGATGCCCATCCAGTCCTCACCGAAGGCCTTCCTCAAGAGCTCGTCGGTGTGGCCCCAYGGGTGCGGGCTCACCTCGACGTGCAGCTTGGAAAACTCATCACAGAAGGCCTCGGAGAAGAGGTCCCTGCGGGTGCTGGCCCACTGGCCCAGCTTGATACACGTGGGGCCGGCGGCCTCGGCCGCCCTGCGCAGCAGCCGCAGCCACCGCGCTCCCATGCCGGGCCACAGGCGGCTCAGCGGGTAGAGCAGGAGCAGCGGCCCGAAGCGCAGCAGGAGCCCGCAGGCGCGGACGCCCAGCCGTAGCACCAGCCCCAAGCGCCGCAGCAGCCCCCGTGGCGGCCGCTCCGCGCCGCGCTCCGCCGCCCACGCC